GCGCCATCTCGGCCATCTTGGCCAGTGGGCGGTTGGGGCGCAGGTTGCTCTGCGGGGACAGTTCGCGACACTCGGGGCACGCGTAGGGGCCCTCGGGCTGGCCCCAGCAGCGTCCGATGCACTCGCGGCAGAAGTTGTGGCCGCAGTCGGTCATCACTGGGTCGGTGAAATAGTCGAGACAGATGGCGCAGGTGGCCTCCTCCTGGAGGTTGGTGGACAGGTCAGGGGTAGCCATGGCGAGCGCCGGTGACGCGGGGATGTAGACAGAACAGGGCTCCCGGGCTCCGGCAGGAAGAGGCACAGCGGCGGAAGCAGGAAGCGCGGCGTGTTTTTTTTTTTTTTTTTTTCCTCCTTTGGGAACCCGCTTTCGTCCAGGATTGGCCGCGACGGGTCACGTGGCGCACGGTAGGCGGAACCGGAGCTTAGGTCGCAGTTACCGGGCGTCGCGGCTGGCCCTAGGACCTGGGACCCTCACCCTCCGGATATGCGTCCCCTCGGAAGCCATGTTCTCGGGCTCCCGCGCGACTTGGGGAGCAAGCCAGGCTGTGGGGCTACGGCCGCACTCTCTGCCACGATACTGTGGGAATCCCTTGCCCAGGAAAGTACATTTAGTCTGGAGTAATGGGAATGAGGGCCTCTTGGAGTGTTTTTAGGAACGTGTGCTGGGGGGCGGGGAGAGGATACTCCCAAATTACCCTTACCGTCATTTGTATTTTGCTTTTCACGTGCAAAATCACATCAAGAAGCTGGGGGAGGCCACTTGTGTGCACTTTTAGAGTTCAGTGTCCCCTCTCAAGGACCCAGTAGCCACAGTAGGGGACCAGGGAATCCAGGAAGCAAGGAGGCAGAGCTAAAAAAAGTAGACCACGCTGTGCCAGGGTGATGGTGCACTTTTGTAACTCCAGCACTCTGAAAAGCTGAGCAGGAGGATCCCAAATTCAAACTCAGGATGGGAAGTTAGTGAGGCTCGGTCTCAAAATACAAAATAAGAAAGGGATGTAATTCAGTGAAAAGGCTCTTGAGTTCAGTCTCCAGTGTGACAAAACAAGCAAAAACAAAACCAGACCATACTGTGTTTGGTGCAGCTGGGTATTTAGAAATCTGTCCAATAGGAGGCATCTGCCTTTCTGGTTTCCTCTACAAAGCACCTGCCAATGTAGCCTCAGTGTTTGACCACTTTAATTGTGATTCTGTCTGGAGAAAATGCCTTGCATGCAGCAGAAGGCTCTCATTTGAGCTTTGCCTTCAGCACAGACCTGGGCAGTCCTGGCCTCTACCCCTTCACCCACATAGTCACTGTGGAGATGACCATCTGGCCCGACTTGGGTGTCCCCAGGCAGAAGAAGGGCTGCAGGGGCCCAGGGAAGGCAGCCTGGGAGTAAGTGTGCAAGTGGCACCCGTCGTTCACACTGTAGAAGGATACCTCGCCGGCCTCGAAGTCCAGAAAGACGCCAATGTGGCTGGGAGGCTCGGTCAGCGTGATGGGCATGGCGGTGGGTATGAAGGGCAGTGGCTGCTTCCCCTTGGACAGCTGTATCACCCAGAACCCATTTTCGGGGGACTTGGGCACTCTGTCCTTCCGGTTCACGTTGTCTCTGCACACACCCAGGGCCCAGAGTGCATCCCCAAGGAGGTTCATGCCTACTTCCCAGTAGTGTCTCCCTGAGGTGAAGCTCTGCTGGCCCACAGCGCAGGGGTAGGCCAGGAACCGGTCCCTGCCACAAGATGCGGTGCTGCCCTCAGGCAGGGGACTGAGGTAGCGCCGTTGGCGGCTCTCATACAGGAGGAGGTAGGGGTACGCCGAGGTGGGGTCTGGCAGTACTTCCTCTGCAGACAGGCCCAGGTACAGGCGAGAAGGTGGAACCAGTCAGGGTCAGAGGTGGTGGGGCAGATGGTAGCAGCTGAATGGCCCCTCTGGTCCCCATCTTCCCCAGGTACCCTTTCCCCTGGGTATCCTGGGGGAGTTGGCATAGGGCCCTGTGCCCCAGCTACTCATGGCTGCTGGTGGGGCAGTGGGGGTGAGCAGGACCACAGGCTTAATCAGTAGAGAAGGAGGAAGAAAAATGCACACAAAGCACAGGTGTGTGGTATGGGGGGTGGGCACAGGGCATCCTGAGGGTGCCAGGCCCCAGGCTGCACTTACCTTGAAAGCCTCTAAGCACATCTCTCTGCCCAGGAACCCTGCACACCGTCCTGAACACCGTGGGGACGGCCACCTCTTGGCACTGCACACTCAGGCTGCGCTTCCTCCAGGGAACACAGGCTCACTGTCCCCCTCCAGTCCCACACAGAGCCCTCCTGCACCCACCTCTGCCACCACCTTCGCTGCTGGTGACTGCATACCTGGCCAGGGTGTCCTTCATATCCTGCAGAGGACAGGGAGGAGAGCAGGAAATGGACTTAGCTCTCAACTGCCACCCCCATGTCATTCTCTCTTGTCCACTTCTCTGGGACAGATTAAAAATGTCCTTTCTGCCAGAAACTGAACTCCCACACCCACCAGGAGTCCCAGGGGCTTACCCTGACCCTGTGCATGAGGAGGCTGGAAGGCCTGGAGAAGCTGTTCTCCTGTTCCCTTGATGATCTTTGTGGCTTCTCTGCCATGTCTGAATGTAAGTTTCACTGCTCTTGTACTTTGGGGGCATTTTAAAGTAAGATGGGGCTGCTACAGATGTTGCTACTATCCGTCTGGTAACAGAATGGCTAAGAGATTAATGGACAGGGAAATTCATACATGGTGTGGGTCTCTGAACAAAGTGGCTGGGATGCAGCTGGACAGTGAGATTTCATCACACTGCTCAGAATTCCATGCAATTTAAAGCTTATGATTGTTTAATTCTGCAGTTTTCTACTTAGTATTTTTGGGCTGAGGATGACCATGGGTAACTGAAACCTTGAAAACTGAGACTGGATGTGGGGAGCTTCCGCTGTAGGTGCTCCCTAAGTGGGTGCAAGACCAACGAGATGCACAGAATTGTCATGGAGAAGGGGTGAGTGAGGGTGTAACTGGCTGAGGTTTGGGGAGGGAGAGAGGTTCCAGTAACAGCTGGGTTTGGAGGGACTCTGGGAAGGGCAATTCCCAAGTACATTAACACCCTGGACTAGAAGCTGCACCGGGTTTAGTATGTTCTTCAGTGGCCATGCTGTGGTTTGTCCTTTCCAACCCCCTCATTTCATAGGTCCTAGCCCCAGGATCTCAGGATGTGATATACACATGATCCTCCATTTAAAATGGAGTTATGTGCTGACATTTCCACTGGAAGTCGAAAACCTTGAAAGATAAAGATGCATGCAATAATCCTGACCTGCTGGGCACTCTAGTTGCATGGCACATGTGGATAGTGATGCTAGATCGGAGCATTGTTTGACTCTTACTATCTCTGAAAGATCCAAATTCATTATCTGAAGTTTGGTTTCTACTGAAAGGACATTTCTTGTGTACCATGGTCAAGCTGAACCACCATGACTGGGAGGTAGGGTCTTTAAAAGCTTAGATGAGGCCAAGTGAGTTCATTCAGGTGGTTTCCAGTCCAACCTGAGCAGTGTCCTCATCAAAGGGAGAGATCAGGGCACAGACACCTGTGGAAGATGGTCTTGGGGGAGGATCAACCCCACCACACCCTGATCTCAGCCTTCAGCTTCCAGCCTTTAGGACTGTACACAAGTTCCGTTTTTTAACCCTCTCAGCCTGTTTGTAATCCAAAATCTGAAACTCTTTGAGGGCTGACCTGATGGTTAACCCTGTGGGATATTCCACACCCAAACTCTGGGAAGGTTGCAGTCAAAACAGAGGCACAGTAAAGAAAGCGCGTAATGTCAGCTGCAGCTCTCTACACACACCATACACAAGACAGAAATGGACTTCCTGTTTAAACATAGATATCAGTCCCAAGATACCTCATGATGTCTGCAGATATCCCCAGTCCGAAAATATTTGAAATATCAGATGCTTCTGGTCTGAGCAGTTTGGTAAAGGGACGGTTGTCCAGCCTTCTGTTGGGCTGCATTCCTTCTCCTGGTCCTGTGCATCCCAACCACACCTCTCCTGCGCCTCATCCTGGAGCACAGCCCATGGGGCAGTCTTACCTGCAACATCTGTGGAGGCTCTCGCAGGCTTCGGTCCTCCAGCTGTAGCAGCAGCAAGTCCAGGGAGCGGTGCTGCTGGTCCAGGGAGGTCTTGCTGTCTCGAAGCTGCACCGCTGTCTCCTCCTCTTCCCTCTTTAAGGCCTGGAGGAGTCTCTGCTCCTCCTCTGCCAGGAACAGGACCACCTTCTCGAACTCCATCATGATCCTCTCCCTCCGGACCTTCACTCTGTCCTGTGGGCATATGAGATGTGGTCCCCACACACTAGAGCAGTTCTATGGGTCACAATGTACCTCCCTGGGCTTCCGGGGACCCATAGTACTCTGGCAAGGGTTGGGAGCTTTAGGTGGAAACTAGGAGCTTTTCAGAGGAGCAGTGCACTGGGCCCCAATAGGCATTGTCCAACACCCTAACATTCATGTATCCTTGTACTGGTGGGGCTCAGAGACACTCCCAAAGAGGGATACTTGGAGATGTTCCTAAAAACCACAGGAGGCCATTGTTTTGGATAGGACTCCTGCCCTGGTCCCCTGCAGACTAAGCAGGAAGTCAGAAGGAGCCCCACAGCTGTTGAACTCCCCAGAAGCCAGAATTGGAGACAAAATCTGGCCACTTCAAATGGATCACAAACATAATCCTTACACAAAAGTAAGCTGGGTTACCTGATACTCACTGATCTGTTGTTTTCCTGTTGTTCTTCCTGTTTCTGCCTTTAAAAGATGCCAACTATGAAGTGACCAACCCTGTGCTCTGACTCTGATCACTCCAGCTCCTTCAGTCTTTGAAACCCATTTTCTCTAGTCGGCTCACTTGCCATATCATGTGGGATGAGTTTCCTGACTCTAGAACTGAAGGTAAAGCCACCAAGCCCTTTGCTGGGTGTAATGCCATGGCTTATGTCCCAGTACTTCCAGGATGACCTGTGCCCAGGAGCTCCAGGCCAGCCTGGGCAACATGGTGAGACCCTGTGATTTTGACTTCTGCTAAGCCTCTGATTGTCCACCTGAGTCTCCTGTTTGTGTGAGGCTTCTCCCACCCTGTGTGCCGGCATAATTAAAAGTCACCTTTCCCTCTTACTCACCTGTCACTCTTGCACCAGGGTTTGAAGAAAGGGTTTGAGGAAGATTTTCCCCCTTACATGGGGAGTGAGGAAGGTGGGGATGGGATGTTGTGGGTGGGGCTAGGACACCTTTAGGAGCACCTCCCACTGCAAGGAAGAAAGGCTAGAAATCCAGACAGAACAGAGCAGGGATGGGAAAGGGGCTTTGGAGAACCACCTGCCACTGGGCTAAGGTCTGCTCCTCCTTGGCTTGCAGCTTCTCCGTCTTCCTCACCTCCTCCCGCAGGTACCTTATGTCTTCCTCCAGCTTCGACTGTGGGAGTACAAAACCACAGGGCTTGGGACCAGTGGTGCCCACACCTCCTGCCAGAATCTGGGTTGTGGTTTCTTTTTTTCTTTGGTATCGGGGATCAAATTCAGGTCCTGTGCTTGCAAGGCAGGTAGTGGAACCACTGAGTTAAATCCCCGGCCCTGGATTGTGGTTTCTAACCATACTAAGGAAGCATAGGGGATCGATATGCCTCCCCAAAACAGGCCCCTCTGTCAGTGAAACAGTTCGGACCTCAGAATACCTTCAGAACGTAACACCCCCAAATACACAACTTCAACAAGAGTTATTCACCACTTAAGAGTTATTTTGAGCTGAACACACTTTAAAAAAGAAAAAGAAAACCTATAGCTGCAAGAGTCTCTCTGACCATTCCCTTTTTCTTCCTAAAAGGTGGAGGGAGAAAAACCATCATGTGGAAGCTGTACTCCCTGTACCAGGGGAGAAGTAACTTGTCCTCATGGCTGAGGACAGAGGTTGAACTGAAGAATCTGTACCAGTGGATCCTGTGAACTGGCCCCCATCCTCTGGTCACTTCTCTACCTGGCTACCTACCCCAGTCAAGAGCTCCTGTGCTTGTTCTCCACCCTTCAGTTTCCTCCTTGTCCATGTTGGCAGTCATCCCCCAGTGCCATGCCAGGAAAAGGGTACAGGGAGCTGGAGCTGTGGGGGTCAGACCGGGCCTGGGCCTTGGCAGTCTTGTCAGCACTCACCTGTTCTGTCCCAGGAGCCATTGTACCCTTCCATGGTGGGGTCCTGCCCATGGGTGATACAGCCCACCCACAAACACACTCCTACCCTTGGGGCTTTTGACCTTTGCTCCCCACCTTGTACTCCCGCAGGGCTTCCTCCACAGGCAGCACCCTGTGCTCCCGGTGTTCCTGCGCCTCCCTGCACACGACGCAGATGGGGCTCTGGTCCTCCAGGCAGAACAGCTTGATGGGCTCCTGGTGCGCTGGGCACAGGTCCCGCTCCTGCAGCCCATGGTGTTGCCGTGCCATCTCTGCCACCTTGGTCAGCAAACGGTTGGGCCGCAGGTTCTGCTGGGGTGACATCTCCCTGCACTCTGGGCAGGAGAAGAATCCCTTCTGCCTCCTCCTCCCTTTCTTGCCTTTTGCCTTCTCCCAGTTTGTCTGGATGCAGGTGCGGCAGAAGTTGTGGCCACAGGCAGTCATCACGGGGTCCGTGAAATAGTCAAGGCAGATGGAGCATGTGGCTTCCTCTTGCAGCTTTCTGGCCAGTTCTACAGCATCCATGGCTCCTGGGAGGACCTCAGGGCCTGGAGGTTAGACCCAAACCCCAGACCTGGGCTGCAGTGGCTCTGTGTGCCAACCCTTTCACAGAGGAGAACTGGGGTTGTGTGAGGGGCCCACACTGACTCTTTCAGTTTTGTTAACAACAAAGAAATGCCTCTTGGAAACTGCAAAGACCCTTTGACCAGATGCATCCAGGAGCCTCTGGCCATGCACAAAGCACGGCCCAGACCCCACCCTGCTGTCAGTCTCCTGGACACCTGGCCAAGTCCTCATCCCTCCCATGAAGCCTAAACCCTGTGCACCCACTAGACCCATTCAGGGATAAACCTCTCCACTCTTTCTCTGTCCCTAGCTGCCTTTTCTGTTGGCATTGAACCTCATCCCTTCTCTAGGGTGACACTCTTGCTGCAAGAAGCTCCAATAAAGAGCCCTTTAACAAGCTCAGAATAACTTTCTTAAACTCCAGTACCACAAGGGCAAATAGGAGGGAAGGTGATTTTTTTCCATTGGGGAGGGAGGTGCAGATCAGGGAAGACACAAGACCATTTTGTGCAATGTCACAAAACTACAAACAAATGTGTGCTCACAAACCTACATGTGTGTGCATGTATGTGCACATACGTGCACACACCTGAAAACAAGCTTGCACACACGTATCTGTGCACCCATGTAAACACACGTACACAACGTGTACACGTACAGGTGAGTGTGCAAACGCTCAGTCTCCATACTTACTGGGGTCGCATGCAATGGAGACCCACCGCCTTCCCCTTCCTACTTCCTGAGGTCTTTGCAGGGCGGGACAGTGGAGGGTTTGAACCTCTAAATTTCAAGCACTGATCCCACGCCCCTCCTCGCCCCTAAGTTACAGTGTCCGGGGATCGAGGGAGGCCACGCTTTCTGCAGCAGGGCGCACGGCGACGACTCGGTGCCTAGGTTCGGGAGCCTAGGCCCGGGAGGTGTCCTTCTGTCCGTGGAGGTTCATCCAGGGGACACAGGTCAGCGTGGCCGCCCTGCGGACTGTGCGGCCGCCAAGGCTGGAGGGTGCCTGGAGGGTCTCTGGGCACGGGGATTCCCAGCAGCCGAGGGGCTGGGACTGAGCGGCTGAGCCTGGGAAATGGCTTGGGCGTGGACACGGCTTTGTGGCGTCAGCGGGGCGGTGCCCAGGAGAGGACGCTGGGGTCCGGGAGAGAGGGGGTCCTCCTGATGGGAGGGGAGGAGCAGATGAGAAAGGGACGGGGACGGGGAGGGGAGGGGAGCCACCTCCCTCAGGTCAGCTGCACGGGGCTGCGGGCAGCTGGTAGCAGAGGGGCGCGGGTCTTGGCCGGCCGGGAAGGCAGGCGAGCTTGGGCGGGTAGGTGAGGTTTTTACCCTGACCCAGTTGCCACAAACAGCGCTCCCCAGGCCTAACCCTGATCCAGATCCTAACCCTAATCCTGGTCCTGGGGAGAGCAGACAGATGTAAAACCGAGGCTGAGGCTACCTGGCGAAGGGAATCCCTGCCTTGGAAAGCTGATCGACCCTGGTTTGTTGTGTCCAGGGCGCGCTAGTGTATGTAGCCTGGTTTGGGGTGTAGACAGCGGCCTTGCCGCAGTTCCCGCCCCCCTCCTTAGTACTACGGGGACTGCTGTAGGAGGTGGGGCCTGGTGGAAGGGAATTAGGTCATTGGGGTGTGACCTTGGAGGTGCTGTTGGGACCTTCCTCTTCCTGTCTCTGTCTGCTTCCCAGTTGCCAGGGAGGGGCAGATCTTTTCCAGTACTGCTCCTTCCATGACCTCTGCTTCCCCACAACCCCAAAACAGTGGAGCCAGGCGACCTGGACTGGAACCGCTAAAACCCAGCGAAAGGATAAACCTTTTCTCTGTCTAAATTGATAGCTTAATTATTTTGTCATAGTGTCAGGAAGTTAACATAGCAGGTTTGTATATAAAATGCCATATCCTGATATGTCCCTAGGAATTGTTTAGCCCTGGGGTGGGAACACCCTCCAGGGTCGGATGTGAAAGTTTCCTAAAATGCAGAAAATAAAAAAGGCAAAGTGAATGTACCTTTGGAGTAGAAAGATCTTCTCAGGGCTGGGGATTTAGCTTAGTGGTTCCACTGCCTGGCTTATTTGATCTGTTACCAAAAAAAAAAAAAAGCTTCTCAAAGACAGACATTTGGAATTTGGGAATTTAGTGCAGTAGTTCTGCCACCTGCCTTGCAAGTGCAAGGGCCTGAGTTCAATCCCCAGTACCTAAATAAATAAATAAATAAATAAACAAAAGAGACAGGCACAGATAGATTTGGCTGTTACCTAAACCACAGCTAAGCAAAGGGGCCCCAAGGAAACCCTGAGGCTCTAATGACTTGGCATAGAACATGTCCAGTCCAGTGGGTCTTCTCGCTAAGGGAAGTGCAGGAAAACCACATAGCTAAAACGACATTGTGCATACATAAAACTCTCCAACAGCTGGGAATTTAGCTCAGTGGTTTCGCTGCCTGCCTTGCATGCTCAAGGGCCCAAGTTTGATCCCTAGTACCAACAAAACGAAGCAAAACAAACAAAAGAAATTCTCCAAGTGCTACTTTTAATTGTAAGGATAGCATATTAGCTTGCAGAGGCTAGATAACAAAAGATCACACCCTGAGGTCTTAAACTGTTGCCAAAGGAATTGGTAAGTGACATACACAGAGAGATGCAGAATGGAAGTAAAATGAGAAAAAGTTAATTTTATTAATAAAAGGCTGATTGCACTCAAAAAGGCAGTGACAAAAATTGACCCCCTACTGCCTTACAGCTCAGCTCTCTCTTTTAGAGAGTTTTACAGCCTTGACCCTATTCAGGTGTTTATTTCATTCTCTCAGTTCACATTACTGATATACAAATCATGGTCACGAGATAGTTAACTTTAACCCAGATGTAGCAATTCATTGTAGTTAGGGAGTTCACCTCTAAGATTCACTTAAGCTATCTTTCCTAGCCCATGGGAAGTGGGGTGTTCAGGGTCAGGAAAGCAAATGTTAACAATGGTTCTTTTCATCTTGACACTTTTATAATCATTTGGTTTAGAGAACTTCGGAGCTCAGAGTCTTGATGTGCTCTGTTGTCTCAGGATAAGACCAAATGTTTTATTTAGTGGTTAATGCCTCCAGTGTCTGTAAATTCTGAACTCAACAAAGCAGACTGCTGTTAGAGACAGCAGAAGCCATTCTACATTGTGACATTTTGTAGGTTTTGCTATTTACAAGTTTTCTCTATCAAAACCACAGAAATTAATTTTCTTCCTGTTCTGAAGGCTGCAGAGACGGAGGTGTGGGTTCCTCTGAGCTTGTACTCCTTGGTTTGCAGATACCATCTTTCCCCATGTCTTCACACAGTTGTCATTCTGAGTGTGTGTCCTCTTGTCATGACACCAGACATGTTGGATTAGGGCCTCATTTATCTTAATTGTCTCATTTCAAATAGTCACATTCTTAGGTCCTGGATCTTGCAAGTTCTGGGGGACACAGTTCGGTCCTGACAGGTAGCAGACATGCCATGTGCCCACCATGCCAGACACTAAGGATGATGTGATTTCTATAACAATCCCATCAGGCCCAGGGCTCACGGTCCAGCTCAGAGCAACCCCTTCCCCCAATATGGAGGGAGCATCACAGGCAGAGACCACAGACTGGCCCTAGGACCAGGAGTGTGAGTCTGGGGGAAAGCCCGCTGTGCAAGCAGGCACGGGGAGGGATAGTGACCTGTGATAGTTAATTGATCATATCCTCAAGTAAGAAACACCCAACTAAATTGGCTCAGCCTAGTCCTGGATATGGAAGACCCACCCTAGGGAGGATTATCACCAAAATTAATAAAAAAGGGAAATGAAGAAGGAAGGGTGACTTTTGTTTCTTTGGAGAAGCTCATCTTCAACTTTAATTTGGATGTCAACTCTGGGCTTCTAGTATAGGCTCTTCAGTCTCTAACATCAACCCTTTAGCCTCCTGATATGTACTCACATGGGACACTACAGTGAGCTCCAGGCCTTTGACTGGAACCTTTAGATCTCCAGCATGCGACAGCCCTTTTGCAGTATTCTATGCCTGACTCTGTGGGTGGTCACTGTAAGCAAATAATGTAAATTTTATATATTTTTATATCTTGTGTTAAATGTTTCTCTAGTAAGCTCTGACTGATACATGCCCCTACCTGGAGTTGGCCTATAGGGAGGGTCAGAGGGCCCAATGTCCTTCTGGTGTTTCAGTCAATGGCAGGGCCAGCTGCTGATGTCCCATACCCTCCTCAGAGTGCCATCAGGCCCTGCTGTGTCTTCTTCTTCTTCATGGCCTGTCAGTTGGGCTTCTAAATCAGAAAAACTCAACTTTATTTTTTAAAGCAGATTCAGTGTCAGCGCAAATTCGAGAGAAGCACAGACTTCCCATTATTCCTTGCCTTTTGCCAGTATCTCCTACTGAAGAGGAACAGTTGTCATGATAGATGAACCTGTGACATGTCACCTTCATCCAGCATCCATAGATGACATCAGGGCCACTCTTGGTGTCCAACAGTGTGGACTGGTGACGTGTGTCCACTGTTCCAGTGTTGCACAGAGAAGTTGCACTGCCTGGATAGTTCCCTATGCTCCACTTGGTCGCCTTTCCTCCCCACTCTGTAACCACTCATTATTTTACCTTTTCCAGAATGTTATATGATTGCAATCATACAGAATGTAGCTTTTTCAAACTGAGGTCTTTCACTTAATAGCCCTTAGGTTTTCTCCATGTCATCTTGTGGTGCTCCATGGCTTATTTCTCTTTGTTGACAAGTAATACTCTATGGTCTGGATGTATCCTACTTTACCCAGTCAACTACTGAAAGTCATCTTGGTTGCTTCCAAGTTTTGGCAAATACCCCACAATCTTTTTATGCCCTCAATAGATTCTCCATGTTTCAGAGATTGAAGATCATATATGTGTGCATATGTATAATATATATATATATATATATATATGCAGCCCTTGAAGAGGCTAAATTCTCATGACATAGGCAGACACCTATGGTTTCTTATACTCCTTTTATTGAGTAGTAGATGCATGCCCCAGAACATAGTATGCATAAGGTATCAAGAATGAGAAAATTCATATCCTGAGCTGGCTGCCAGTTAAAGGCAGACACCACAGGTACATTTGAAGCACCATATACCCCTTCCTGCTTCCCACCCCATTAACTGCTGTCTTGAATACTAGAAACATAATATTAGTTCATATGTATATTTTCCTATCAAATATGTTGCTTGGCTGCACCTTAGAGTTAGGTTGGCTTATGCTATGGTCTGAATGTTTGTTCCCCCCACCCCGTATTCCTATGTTGCAATGCTTACTCTGTACCCCCCAAAAGATGGTATTAGTGTTGAGGTCTTTTTTCTGTGATGAGTTTCTGAGGGTGGGGCATAATGAATGGGTCAATGCTCAGAGAGCCCTGCATCCTCCACTTTGTAGGGTCACAGTGAGAAAAGCTGGTTGTGAACCAGGATGCAGCCCTTCCCAGACAGGGAATCTGCCACACCTTGATCTCCGACTTCCAAATCCCAGAGCATTAAGAAACAGATTTCTGGGCCAGGGATTTAGCTCAG